CGCCGAACACCGAACATTGGCCGAACCCCACTTTTTACCGAACTCCAAACCCGTACCCGAACGTTCTGTCGGACACTAACGATCTAGCTATGTACGTCCGTTTATCTGTTGTTGGCACGATAGCGTCCACAAAAAAGAGATAAGGAGATGAAATTTTCCCAAAATATTCTTTATTGATCAGAAATGTTTGGCATTAAAAATGGGCATCGATTTCACATAGCCCCTATACAAATGTACCCCCCGGAATATTGTGTAAAAAGCTTCAAACATTCACAAATTCGTTGATTATGAAGCAAAAGCCACAAAATTTTGCATAAGTCAGTTTTTTGTCTCCTAAAATTAAATCCTCCCTTCAAAAAAAATTATTATAATGATCATTTTTAGCTAAAAAATAGCTCTACAGAAATATAATTCTACATAAACAGTTTTAATAAGTACCAAATTTCTTTGTACCGAATTTTAAGAGTGATTCATGATTGAAAATGATCCTACCCCATGTAAGGTTCCCTTTAATGCTCATTACTGTCTTAACAAGTAAGAGTGCTATATTCGGCTGTGCCGAATCTTATATACCCTTCACCATAGTGTATTTAAAAATTCATTTTCCCGACTATATCATTATTATAGCAATAGCAAAACATAATAAACAACAACAACGCCAAACGAAATAAACACACAAAAAACAAAATACACAAGGCAGTAAAACCAACAGCATACAAACATACGAAACGAAATACACAATATACACAAGGCAATGAAAATGAAACACACAGCCATCCAAACATACGAAACGAAATACTCGAAAAAAAAAAAACAAAATACACAAGGCAATCAAACCAACAGACATCCAAACATACGAAACTGAATACACCAAGAAACAAAAACAATATACACATGCCAATGAAACACACAGCCATCCAAACATGTGAAACGAAATACTCAATGAATAAGCAGTGTTGTTGTTGTTGCTTATTAATCAAAGCATGAAAAAATTGTCTTTTTTAATGAAATTTTCAGAGGTTGTCTCGGATTTTTGCTTATATCTCCGTCATTTATGGACCGATTTTGCTGAGTTTAAATAGCGATCTTCTCGAAAGCATGTCTAACAGAATTATTGAAGATTCGGATCTCGGCGATATCTGGGGTCCTCTAAAAACTGATTTCAACAGACAGACAGACAGACGGACATGGCTTAATCGACTCCGCTATCTATAAGGATCCAGAATATATATACTTTATAGGGTCGGAAAATTATATTATAGAAATTACAAACGGAATGACAAACTTATATATACCCTTCTCACGAAGGTGAAGGGTATAAAAATTAAGGTTTAAGGGTTAATTTTATTTATTTATTTTTTTTTGGTGTCAACATAAATACGGGTCTTTATCATTTAATTTATTTAATTTAAATCGGTTGAAAACAAAATAATATTTCACTATGGTTTCAAGAGGATTTCCCAATATTGCACAGCTTGAATTTGACCTTCACAGTTTATGGGTTAACATTATTCTATATATATAATTTAGGTATAATTTGGTAGTTTAAATCGATTTTTGGTAGGTTTGTCAAAACACATACTTTTAAAGAGTATTAACAATTAAATTATACATTTGTTTACTGAATTAAAATATTAAAATCTTATTACATTTTTGAATCATTAAATGGAGTTCGGAATAACGCCTTATTGTTATAAGACATTATAGGACTTGAGGATTGAAAACAACAGATTTTTCTAGAGCCATTAATTTCTTAAAACAATTTATGTTAATTTTATCACAAATTTCATGGTAATTTTTTGAGAACGACCTAATGTGGGAGCTAGGTCAAAATTTTGTCTGAAATTCTGAAACAAAGAAATATGTAGTTTATGACTAATTGTATCTAAGTAGTCACCTGAAATGCAAAACGCACAATAACAATAACTGAATCAAAAGGTATATTGTCGCAGTTAGGGAACCGATATTATGATTTTTAGGTACTTCAAACTGAGTGGGGGTTAATTTGTTTACAATTGATACATAACCAACATATTTTTGAACATTAAAATGATTTTCCAGATATTTTCCGATTTGTATTGGGTCTGGATGCAATTATATGTAGCAAATTTAGTCGAAACATTTTAATCTTTGTAATTAGATACAAAATATAAAAATTTCCTGTTGCTAAGTTTTACAAAATTCATATCTTCCAGGACGTTTTCCTACATAAATTAAAAAAGAATCTCAAGAAATTTATGTATCATAAAAGCTGTGATACATGGTTTATAGATCTTACAAAGATGCCTAAAAAATGTTCAGAAAATGTCTAAAAATTGTAAGTTGACACGAACGATAGACACTTTCTGAAATTTTTTCTGCCAATATTGTTAGATCTAATAACTGTTTATAGATAGTTTAACACCCTTTTGCATTTTAGGCGACGAAATACCTTAAAAATATGTCACCCTTTTCTCAACAAATAATTTTATATGATTTTCAAAATTTCGTAGGTTTTAAACGATTTTGGTAGTTTTTTTTTGACAAAAATTTGGGAGGTTTAAAATTTGGTCAGTGACAACGCTGATAGTAGCAAATGTATATCGAGGGACTATATTCAATAGTCTCTATCTAAAATAACACAAGTTTTCAGGAGAGCAAAAAAACTGTTTATTTCGCTAGTTCGTGAAGACTTTTAAATTTTTTCTTCTACAATATATTTTTACGACCATGGTCTACATCGTTATATAAAAAGAATTTAAAATTTTGCATTATTTGCAAAATTATTCACAAAATTTTTATCAAATAGGGCTTTTTTCTATGAAAATTTTTTTACAACCTTCAGATAGAGAGTTTTTCATAGAAATATTTTTTATTTGATTTAATATCAATAAATATTATTTCTTAAGCAATTTAATGAAGTAAAATAACATGAATTCCAGGAAAGAACATAGAAAAACTGACAATTTTTGACCTCATGTCTTTCAATTTCCTTCATATTATAATGCAGTCAAACTCGCTTATAACGAACTCGGTTTTAACGAATTCTCGCTTATTACGAACAAGTTTTCAAGTCCCGCTATTTTGGTAACTATTTTCATACAAAAAACATCTCTTATAACGAACTCGGTTATTACGAATCCTCGTATAAAACGCACTACTTTTTCAGTCCCTCAAGTACAATTTCTTACAATTTTCCTTTTTTATAAAGAACTTCAAAATTATGTGTTGAAATCATAAGAATATATCTTGCTGTGTTGAAAAAAAAACTTAAATTTGTTAAGAAAAATATGAACAAATAAAATCAATGGTGTTTTTTTGTAAAGAATATTAAATAAATTTATAAATCATATTCTCAAAATTTTGTAAAATGCCACTTTATTTTTAGAACTACAAAAACTTCACCTATGTTATTACGAACTTCGCTTATAACGAACAAATTTGACTGGTCCCGCAGAGTTCGTTATAAACGAGTTTGACTGTATATGTTCTTTATGTAGAAAATAAAACAACTCAGTTTTTTATTTTGAAAAATTTTAAGAAACGCGATTTTTGCGGCGGTTTTAATTTGTTCGAAAACTACAAAAAAATAAAAAGGTATAAAACTTTGAATGTTCATATCTTTGAGAGGTTATGTCGGATTTTGTGTTGAAAAAAAAACTTAAATTTGTTAAGAAAAATATGAACAAATAAAATCAATGGTGTTTTTTTGTAAAGAATATTAAATAAATTTATAAATCATATTCTCAAAATTTTGTAAAATGCCACTTTATTTTTAGAACTACAAAAACTTCACCTATGTTATTACGAACTTCGCTTATAACGAACAAATTTGACTGGTCCCGCAGAGTTCGTTATAAACGAGTTTGACTGTATATGTTCTTTATGTAGAAAATAAAACAACTCAGTTTTTTATTTTGAAAAATTTTAAGAAACGCGATTTTTGCGGCGGTTTTAATTTGTTCGAAAACTACAAAAAAATAAAAAGGTATAAAACTTTGAATGTTCATATCTTTGAGAGGTTATGTCGGATTTTGTTGATTTAAAACACAATTTAATACTATGGCTGTGCTTTTTCATTCTAATATAATTTTTATATTAAAAAGTTTAAGATTATGCATTTTTTATGGAAATGCACTTTTTTAATGTATTTTTGAAATCGTTCTGTTTAAATTTTTTTAAAAGTGCATTAATCGATTATTTGAATATTTTTATGCAAAATATAAAAATATTTTTTGTGACGTGCACTACATCTGTTTTTTCGATTTTTTAAAATGTTCTATATTAGGAAATTTTTAAATTTTATTGATATTTTATCGGTTATTACGAACAAGTTTTCAAGTCCCTTGAATTTTATATTATTTAAAAGTTTTATATAAAATGCATACAATAAACAATAAAGCCCGTTTCTTTTCTCCGAAATCCTCAAAATTCAAATCGCAGGTACCGCTAATATTTGAGATATGTCGACCAATTTTTTTTACTATTTTATTCCCTTCTTTATAGTCCATAAGTCACATAAGGTTTTCTTAAAATTTTAAGATTTGCTTAATATAAATTAAGTGGCAAATTTTTTGCAAAAACAATAAAAATTAATCGTTTTTAAATTTTTTAAACAATTTTAAAATATTTCATGACTTCCAATTTTCGATCCGTATTTTACGTAAGCATAAACATATTTTATATCTAACTAGTACTACCTGTTCCTCAAATGCGAACGAACATTTCATTCTTATTTTATATTAAAAACAATAACAATTTTATCGAATTTAAAATTAACATGTATAATATTACACGTTCACTCCTAAGGTTTATAAATTTAAAATTTATATGATATTGCCCACGATGTATAAGTACTTAGTGCATCCTGAAATTGCCTTGGAACGGTAGAATCAAAACACAATTCATTTAAAAAATCTACATGATTGTAAAACTCCCAAAGAATATATTAAATAAATACATTTTGATATTTCCTAAATTATAATAATTAAGTAAATAAATAAACATTAAAGTCAGCTTACCTTATTTAACAGTTGAGTATCATAACCTGCTGCTGGCCACAATCGGCTCACGCAAACCAAAGGTTTTTCATTTTCTAAACAAGCCATCGAAAGCAATTTTTTGACATACTTATTTGTGGAAACCATTTCTACATTCTCCAACACCTTTGACACATAGTTTCGTGTCCCCAATAAAGGACCAAATACTTTGGCCAAACTACCTTTAGTATTACTTACGTAAGCCACTGGTGCAAGCAATGTTGCGGTTTTAAAAGCATTATTATATTGAGGTAACATAGAATTGAGCACCAAAAAAATTGTGCCACCTTGTGATATACCAATGAAATGCATTTTTTGTTCACCTGTATACATTCGAATGTAATCAACTATTGCTGGCATGTCATAAACACTCATCTCATGCCAACTGAAGTTCCAAAATTCCGGGTCCGTGGTGTTGTAAAAGACATTCTGTCTAGAATATATGTTGCCGCGATTGTTACCAAGCCAAACATCAAAACCACTACGTGAAAGCAAATATGGCAATGAATTCTCGTGTCCATTTAACAACCATGCATCTGAGGAGGCATAGATTCCAGCCAATAAAAGTGCAACAGGTCTGCGTAAAACGTGAGTTTTATCATTAGGTAACTTCTGTACAAATGGTATTCGATGCAATGTTAATACGTAACCATCTTTTGTTTGAACTGTGTGATGTTCAGACGGAAACCCATCATTATGTATTCGCTTCACCTGTAAGTATAAAAGCTCCATTAACACTATGTACATAGTATGTACATTAAGATGTCCCAGGGACCACAAAATCTAAAAATAACGACAATTTTGACACCTATTTCGAAAAAAGCGAAAGAACACTTAAAATAATTTTTTGTACCAAAAATACTCCACAAAATTGTTTAAATTATTTTTCCCGTAATCAGCTCAAAATTGTGAAATTTTTCATACAAACAATTTTTAAGAAGGCCGTTTCTCGGGACATTCTAATGAACATGTGTACATTAGTGTGCCCCAAAATTGAATTTGCTGATGTTTCCACCGAAAATAAAAATTTAATTTATTCTAAGATATCATTTCTCATTTGTCCTGACGTCAGTATTTGGTAATCTGGATCAAAAGATATAAAGATCCTTTTTTAAGGTTTTTATGATTTTTATCATATTTCTGGCAAATAAACCATATGTAAATTTAGAATCATATGAATGGTCTTTGGGAGACGATTTCAATAATATAACACAATTTTGTATACAACTGCAAAAATATTAAAAATGTTGCAATTTTCCGGAAATTTTTTAAGTTTTTCAAATTTTTGCATAGAATTATTCAATGTATTAATTGAAGTTATCACATTATAAACCTCATATAATTTCAACGAAATAGTTTTTTCTGTTTTTCGAAATTCGATATGTTTTGTATTTGATTTAAATATTTTAAATCATATTTTCTCCCCAATATTGTGCTAGCTATATTTATCTAATGTACATAATATGTACATCAGTATATGCGCAATTAGCAATACATTAGTATATAACACTTTATTGTTTCATTCTATTATAATTAAATTTTTTCAGTTTTACTAAATTTATCCTAATGCAACTACTTATTTGTTATGCTTGCTTTGTTAATAACGGGTTGTATGTTGTTGTTTACATTATTTTTCAATGTTTTGGCTTCGATAAATTCAATTAAAATTCAATTACTTTTGGTTGTGCACAACAATTTCTGAAATGCCATTGAAAGCGTCTCGCGAGGATCTTTCTTATGATACCAACATTTTATATCTTTTCTTTGGGAGAAATATAAAAAAAAATCATAAAAACCTCACCAAATATTGACGTCAGGGCAAAAATTTTGAGAAACGGTATCTTAGAATCAATTAAAATTTAATATTAGTTGGGAACACCTTATTTTTCCTCCATACAAATGAGGCCACCCTAATGTGCATACATATGTACATGAATGGGTCTTATTTTATTCATTAGTGTTTAAAACTAACTAGTGTTAAATTTTATTTTCTTTTATACCTTGTTGGAAAGATAATTTTCTATAGAAGATAAGATTTCGTCGAAATGTCAAGGAAATATAATTTTAATGGCACAATTTTTGAATAATTGAAAAAAATCCTATTATTTGAATCATTTAGTTTTAAACACTAATGATCAAAATAAGACCCATCCAAACAAAATCTATATTTTTGGGCACCTCGAATGTAATTAAAAAAATAAACTGGTCTTTTTTTAGTACTTATAAAAAGTATTAGTAAGAATTATTTTTTTGTTCAAAAATAAAACTTATTCCTTGATTTTTATTTTTTGTTCAATAAATAATTATTATTTTTGTTTTATTTTTTCATTGAAAAATAAAAATCATTTTTAAGTTTTATAATTTTGCTTGAAAAATAAATATTATTCTTGAGTTTTATATTATTTTCTTCAAAAATAAAACTACTTTAAATCTTGTGTATTATTTGATCGCAATTGCTATTTAACCGTTATGTTAATACCCACATACCCGGGTATGTTTTTCATTTTTGAAGTGATATATCTTGAGATCTATATATCGTATCGGCTTGAAATTTGGACTATGCTTTCAGAGTAATGTTTTCTATATATTTCTATATATATTTTCCAAAAATTAGTTATATATATATATATATATATATATATATATATATATATATATATATATATATATATATATATATATATATATATATATATATATATATATAAATTAAACCGATTTATGACCGATTTTCTATTTTTACCTCGTGTATCAATACCCAACATACCCCGGTATGTATACAAATTATATATATATAAATTAAACCGATTTATGACCGATTTTCTATTTTTACCTCGTGTATCAATACCCAACATACCCCGGTATGTATACAAATTATATGTCAGTTGTCGGACAAAAATTAAGTTCCATTATAAATTTTGTGTTTTATTATTAGAATTATATATATTCTTGTATCATATGAAAAAAATTGAATTAAACAACAAATTTAGTTTCAAATACAGAGTCATGTGTATTTATTCATAAATATATATTTGTGGACCCTGTAACATTAACAAATATGGGCCGATTTTGATGAAATAATTTTTTTTTTTTTTTTTGTTGTATATGACTTAGTAAAGTAAAATTATGCTCATTATAATAATTTTATTCTCATATAAACAAAAATATTTAAGTTTAAATTTTAAAATTTTAATTTTTGACCATGACTTAGCAATCTTTTTTTGTAAAAAAGTTCCCTACTTACGAAAGCAAAAACAATTTCTTTAATGCTAATCGATTTTATACACCTTAATAAATAAAATATAAAAAAAAAGCGCTTTTTCGCGAAGCACACTAACAGCGTAAATCTTCAATATACCCAAAATATCGCGTGATCGAAATACTTTTAAATTTTACATGTTGAAATCATAAAGCCGCGATAAAATATTAGCATGCAAAGATGTTAGAGCGAATACAAAAAAATTGCGAATTTTTCATTTTTTACTTTAGCCAATTTTCACATTATAAACAAATTTTAAATTCTGATTTTTTTAGTAATCTTATCTTATCTTATCCTTATATAGAAATATTTGGTTTGCATCAACAAAATTTAAGCCTTTAAGGCCTTACGTGGACTGAATACGCAGGGTTTCTTTCACAACAAAAATCGATGAAGCACACGTAAGCCGCTAATTTAAATTGGGGACATAATACATAAACCGGTGGCTGACAATGATGCTTATAGGAAAATCGATAAGCCGTTCGAAAAAAGTACGTTTTTGCATTAAATGCATTAAAAAAAGTTCGGTCATGTATATGAAATTTATTTCCAAACTTTATATAGATTTTCATTTTAACGGTTTTTATATTATTTACTCATTTAAATTCAGAAACGGAAGCAGAAGATAATTATAAACAAGCAGTTATTGGCTAACCACAAAAATATTTTCATCAAAGTTTCTCGTGTGCAGAAAACGCAGTGTTTTTCTTTCAATTAAAATTAATAAAATTATACGGTTGTATTCATAAAAAGTTAATATAGGTTTATTAAACATTATTAAGCAAAATCCACGAAAATGGTATTCATAAACGTCAAATAGCTAAAAATACCTTCAATAAACCAATGACAAATAGAAAAAATTTATTGTACGCTCGACCCTACTTTAAGCCAACAATAAGTTGAATTCTTACAAATTTTGTCTCTGATTAAGCTTTTTTCATTAATTTTAGGTTGAAGACGAAAACTAATCATGTTTTATTCTGAAATGAAATCTAAAAATTGTAATTTTAACGTTTACAAATTTGTAAATAAAATTCCAGATAAATTTTAAAAATTTCTATTTTGATGAAAAAACTAAAATCTAGGCATTATTGGATTAATAGATGAATATTTGACAGTATTCCAGTTGGTCAATACTATTTTTGGCAATTTGGAAATGCCCGCCTGTCAATCAAATCATGGCCACAATCATTTTATTTGTCTTTTTCATAGTTTATTCGCTAAATATAAAGCCATGAAGTAATTAAGAGTGTAAATTATATTGATTAGTGTTCTATCAATGCAAAATATCTTCTCCGGCAATAAAATGTAGTCTTTTATCAAAGAAATTTATCAGTATTTACAAAAATTTATTAAAAATTGCTATAAAAATAAGTAAAAATAACAAAATGTGCATAGTGATGTTTATTTTGTCACAAAATATTCGTTATTAGAATACTTTTAATTATAATTAAAAATATATATGTTATATTCATTCATCTGAACTAAATATATATTTATTGTAGCCATGTATACATTTATTTTTCTTAAAAGTTCGTTCTTATTTTCAAAAATGTGTTATAACCAAAAATATAAAATTAAGAAAACCGACTCAACGAATATTTTATCTTAATTGTTCGCAACACTAACACAGAAAATGACAGCCAAATTGTACAGTGCTGCCAAGTTAAACAATAAACAGCACAATAGTTAATGTAGATTTATTATTTGTTTATGAATACCACAATTTTATTAATGGCTTTTAAGTCTAAAGTGTACTTTAACTATTGTGTGATTTAAATCTAAAATAAGCATTTTTTATGAATACAACTGATATTCTTTTATGTTGCTATTAATGAGGTCTATAGCAAAATCTATAAGCCGTTCGAAAAAATATAACCATTTAATGCAATTTTAAAAAAATGCATTTGAATATATGCATAAATAAATTAAAACCTCATCATTTTTAATTTATCAAACATAAATGCATAATTTTTTTAGTTAATGAACGTAAACTTATGTATTAATTCATCATATTAAATAGTCTATAAAACAATGTGTACTTAGTTTTATAAAAAAATATTTTTTGAAGAGGTTGAAAAAAACTCTTAATAAGCGAATTTATCCACGAATATTTAAAATATTTGGGTTAAATTAATTTGTATTTTAGGTAAAAACGTAATTTTTCTAAACTTTTAACTTTAAACCGCTATAACTTTGGTGGCTTTTGCTAAATTAAAAAGAGAATTTACCATATAAATAACTGACTGTTTATGTAATTCGAAAAACTTAGACATAGACACAAAAATCCGAATTGGAAACTAAACCTTGTATTGGATGCACATATTCCATATTGAAAATTTTTTAAACATCAATATTATCATAGGTAGGCATTTTAGATATTGAAGAGTTAAAGTGAATACTTGCACTTTTTTAAAAAAATGCTTTTATTTACTTAAGAAAAACTTAAAAA